CTAGTACCAATAGCAATATCCCTAAACAATACAGATCAACAGTGGCAAGACTAATTATAAGACCAGTACGACACTACTTACAATAACAGCACAATGATACTTAAGTAGGAAAGGACAAGGACAATCATCACAATAAAACGAATGATCACAACAATGCGGCAAAAGCATGATAATAACAACAACACTAATATTAATAGTAACAACAATCATAATACCATTAATAATAAGAATAATAGGATTAGTAATACGAAGAAGAAGAAGACAATAACAACTAATTAAGAGCTAGGTATTGTCAACAGTAGTAAAACCTAATAGCATACTAATACTAATCAGAATTATAACAACAACTACAATAGCAGTGATATTGAGAATAGCAAACACCAATAAGAATATCAACAACCATAATCATCATATAAACCATAATTATAATGCGGTAATTCAGGAATATGCAACTACTAACATTTGTACAGGGTTTTGGGGTTTAGGTTTAGGGTTCTGGGGTTTAGGGTTTAGGCCGCAACCGACGGCCGGAAAACAACGGATCCTGAGACACTTCGAGGCTTGCGCCGGAAAGGGGAAAAGATCAACAAACCATCGATTTCGAGGAGTGGCCCGAAGAAGGGACCCAGAAAGCCGTAAACCCTCAAGCCAGCGTCGTAGTAAAAAAGGCGCCTTAATAATTGGAATAGGGTTTTGCGGCCCACTATACTATAATTATTACAATAAGGAACCCCCCAAAATAGTATAGGTGATGATTTAGGCCCCTATAGTACGCAAATCCTTCATGAGCGCTATAGGAAGGCTCTTTCTACAGTGACTTTGCAAGGGTGTTAGCCTCCCAGATAAGGCCCCGAAAAAGCACATAAGCAACAATTAGGATAGGGATATCCGATATAAACCCCCTTAACTGAAGCCCAATAAGGTAGGGATATCCCCATAAAATGCTTATGCTTATGTCCTTTTTGGGTTCCCAAGTTAGCCTCCCAGAAGGAACCTCGGTCTGGGTCTCAAGATTTGCCAGGCAGCGGCACACTGACACTTAGGTCAAGTGCGCAGTTTGCTGTAAGAGGCCTCTGCTGCATCTTCGAGACTTTAGGGTTTAAGGTTTAGGGTTTAGGGGTTTAGGGTTTAGGGATCGAGACCCTAAATCCCTAGGTGGAGTCTTGAGCAGATTACAAAATAAGGCGCTGTCACAGCCGGGGCGATGCGGGTTCGGATTCGGGTTCAGCATCTGTCCCGCGCTGTGCGGTTTGAAGATTTGCGTTCTTGCATGTTCCCAGAGACTCCAAAACCCCGCTCCTTAATTAAGGAATATATCTTAAATTACAAGGGGCTTCATATGAGGATTGAAGCTATATTCCTTATTTAAGGGGTGTTGGGCTCTCTTGGGTTCAAGAGCAGCCACAAGAACTTACACCCTAAACTCTCGACTGTACACCTAGACTCTGATCCCGAGAGCATAAAGAAGCCCGAAGCGCTACAGCGTCAAACCAAAAGCTCACAAACTCTAGAACATAGGGTTTAGGGTTTAAGGTTTTTGTTGAGGGTTTAGGGTTTTGGTTGAGGGTTTAGGGTTGAAATCAAAAACCATATAAGGCCCTTCCTAGGGAACTTGTCTAGTTACCCTGTAGGGAAAGCTCCGAACCCTTGGCAGAACCCTCTTACAACCTTCATAACACCTCTGAAAAAGACCCTTGGTTCACGTGGTACCAGAGCTTATCCAAAGTGAGGCTGGCAGATGGCTAAGGTAGAGATACATGGGGAGCATAGGCCACAGGTTGTTTTTTTCTGCAGGGCTTCAGAGTGCTTTAGGTAGATGGTAGGGTGTGCCTTCAAATCAAAACTTCCTCTTTCTGGTTGGGGGGGCTCTTCAATTTCTGTTTCGGGCTTAGAGATTAGGGCGTCATCCCTTCCATTTAAAGTGGGGTTACTGTTCATGATATCAACCCTGCAGGACCTTAAGGACCCTGAACTATGGGAGTCATGGTATAGTCGGGGTAATGCAGGATTCATATCATCAACCGAAATGTTCAGGGTTTCGGGCCCCGGCTGGGAGTTTTAGGGATTCGGGCTTTGAAACCTCGGCGACTGCTCCAGTTTGAGGGCTCGGCCCCCCCGAAAAACCCTAAACCCAAACCCTCAAAACCCGGAAACTTCAACCCAAAGCCAAGCAGAACCCCGTTTTCGCTTTGGCTCCGGGTTTAGGGTTACGAGCTTAGGGGGTAGGGTTTAGGGCTTAGGTGCTATGTGGCTTTTGCAAATTTGCAGGAGGCATCAGCAAGGGGGCATGACGCAGCAGGTCACACGTCATACAAAAATCCATGTTGCTACCAGCGGCAGGTCGACACAATTGCTGCTTCGTCTTGAAAGTGAGGGCGGCCGAGTCTGTCTAGAACTGGAGGCCTATAAGATTAAGACTTGGGTTCAACATAGGAGCCCTCATGATTAGAACAGGGCTTTGGGTACATTAGTCCAGTGTATGATTACTGCAGAAGGAACCCTAAGGCCTCTAATACGCGAGCAAAACTCGCAAATATTCAGGCTTCACATTAGGGTGGAGGCCCAGAATGCCTAGCACCCACCCTGCGCATCGAGGTTTTGCAGTTCTTGACATCCTCCGCCACCCGACTCAGAGGGGAAGCTGTTCAAGACTACTGGGCCCAGGTAGGCTGTAGTTGTCATTGTATGTCTTCCAGTTTAGGGTGTGTTCTTTCTAGGCTCAGGTTTAACAAGCACTCGGGCTTCAAGATGCGAAGTGATTGCCTGCGGTGCGCACGTCTTGACAAATCCCCATTCGTGAAAGCCGGCGGCTGTTTCGACAGCATGGATGGTCAGCTTTCACCACGGTACAAAAAAGTACAAAAATATCGGACGACGGATCTCGATCTCAGTGAGGGAGTTCTCTGAAAGCGAGATGCAAGTTGCATGTCCGTTCGAACTAAAGATCGCAAGCAGCACGTCCCTGTCCGAAGCTTTACAACCTAATATAGAGACCTTCATACTTAGTTAGAATAGGGTTTTGGGGCATACTGTACTATAATTATCATAAGGACCCGCCCAAAAAATATTATAAGTAATTACTAAGGCCCCTATATTTGCTTCAGGTGGCGGCTTTCGGATTCAGTTTTTGGGGGTCTCCTTGAATGTGAGGTTGCTACAATTATCGATGCCTTCCCCGACAGACATGGGGTTTTCAGACTAATGTAGTACCCCAAATAATAGGATCCTTATTATAAGGACCCAAAATAAGGTACCCAAAATTTTCGGAAACTCCCAATTGCTACACAGCTTTCCGGTCCGACCCGAGCCCTAGAACGACCTGGCAACCACCTTTCCGCACAGCCGCTTCACACCACACCAAACCCCAGACCCTAAACCCCAAACCCTATACCCTAAAGCCTAATCCCTAAACCCTCAAACAATACACCCTAAGCCCAAAGCCCTAAACCCTCAAATTGGCCCCCAAACATGAAACCCTAAACCCTAAACCGTGTCAGGACAGGACATGCTGCATAACTTTGGCGCGAAAGAATGTCTCATAGTGACCGGGCCTCGGGTGAGGGGGCAAAAGCTAAACTCGAGGTTCTTAAAGGAAACTACAGGTGGGGAGTTTAGGGTATATATGGCTTCTATACGGCTCCTATAACGGTAGCTACCCACCTGAAAATGTCCTAGAAGGTTCCCCAGTAACCCCTTGTAACGGTTTGAGGCTTAGGGTGTAGGGTTTAGGGTTTAATGTTTGAGGGTTTCGGGTTTAGGGTTTAGGGCTTAGGGTTTCATGTTTGAAGGTTTCGGGTTTAGTGTTTAGGGACTTCAAGGACCCCCGAGTCACGATATTACCATGGTTCTACCATGATGATAGTCCTCAGAAAGAGACCCCCCCCCCAACTACAAAGGGCAAATTATATCGAATTGCCCGATTGCGGTTGTTTCCGAAAGCGGGGGTTGTTATCTGGGGGAGGTCCTCCAACTCTTCGATTCCGTTCCTGCGGTTTGGGGTGTCAGGTTTCCCAAGGTGCTTGCAAGAAGGGACGGTTTTCTTGGGGGCTTGATGGCATGCCTTTCAGTCTAGACCGAAGGGGGGACAGCAAGAACTTCGAGCGCCTCTTGGGGTGTGTGTGGCTACGATTGCACCAACCAGTAGCACTGTAAGAAAGACTCATCATGTTGTCTGATGCCATTCCATCTCGTTCAGAAATACTCAAACCCATATGGGGATTTCCGAAAATAGGGGACCCTAATATAGCACCTTAAATAGTAGGGTCCCTATTATAAGGACCCCAAAATAAGGTACCCCGTATTTTCGGAAAGTCCCATATCTCATGCCCTACACTCTAAACCGGAGGCAGCAACTCCTCAGCCGTAGACTATGGAAGCTCAAGGATGTCGTTATACTGACTCTACTTTCTTATGATGCCACGAAAAGCTAGATGCTTTCTTAGAGATTCTCATGAAAGAAGCCACAAGCCCCCAACAGCAGAAAGCCAAACTGCACCCTAAACCCTAAACCCTAATAAGCACTCTGTGGCTCAAGAACCCCGGTACTACTCCGGGCTACGGGGTCCGAAGAGGGACGCACGCTTTCGGGGATCCGCAAAGTAGCTCCTCACTACTTCCTGCATTGGAGGAGCCTAAATACAACAGGGGCCTTAAGAATTAGAGTAGGGTTCCTTTAAAGGGAGCCTTAAAGGGTTCTATAAGGGATCTATGATAGGGTTCTATAACACTGGCCTTAATAGTTAGAATAGGGTTTTGGGGCCCAATACACTATAATTATACTAAGAAAGCCCCACAATGGGATTGGTAATTATTTAGGCGCCTACAGTAAACCCTGAACGGAAGAGGTCAAGGGTTTGGGTCAACCAGAGAGCCCAATACACCTTAATTGAGGAAAACAACCTTAAATCATAATATGAAGGCCCCTATAATTTAAGGTATGTTCCTTGTTTATGGGGTACTGGGTTCTATGGGCAAGGTTAGGCATCGCTGAGGCGCAGGCGTTACACGGTACTGACCATCAACTGAGCGGCGAGGCGTTTTTAGGGGTCTTGGAGGGCCCCAAGTACACTTCACCACTTCACGGGGCCTCAGGCTCTGATCTAGGGGCCTTCATGATCAGAGTAGGGTTTAAAGGGAGCCTTAAAGGGTTCTATAAAAGATCTATGATAGGGTTCTATAATAGGGGCCTGAATAACTAGAATAGGGTTTTGGGGCCAAATATACTATAAGCATGAGAAGCAACCCCCAAACTAGTATAGGCAATGATTTAAGCCCTACATTAGCGGAGAAGGTTGCTGGGTCTTGATTGGGCATTGGTTGAGGGCCTGGTGCCCACCCTCCAGGCTTTCAATCCTTCTGGGCTAAAGGAAACTACAGGTGGGGAGTTTAGGGTATAGAGGTCTTCTATAAGGCTTCTATAAGGTATATAGATCTATAAGGCTTCTATAAGGTAAAAGACCTTCTATAAAGCTCCTAAAACGGTAACTATCCACCTGAAAATGTCCTAGACTGGGCCTGCGTTGCGCTGCATTCGAGGCTTGGGATACGGAAGGAGGGTTTGGGGTTGGGGGTTGCTTGGTTCGGTTTTGTTTATTTGATGGTCACGATAGACCAATGTCTGCAGTCCCGAACCCATCTAGGGAGTAGTCCTGCGATGGGGCCGGGCGACAGCATGCATCGCGGACATTCGAAGGACTTGATGATTACCATACGGCTTTGGAGTTGAGCCCTCCCAAACGATAAAAACCCTAGGCGCTTAAGCCCTAGAGCCCGAAGCCCTCTAGAACCCCTAAACCCTAAAGACCCCGAGTCGCAAGCCTTACAGAACACCCTTACACCCCTAACCCTAAACTCGAAGCTCTGAACCCTAAATCCTAAACTCTATAATCTTAAACCCTAGACCCTAACCCAAATCCTAAACCCTAAACCCTAAACGCTCAATCATAAACCCTCAATCAGAAACCCTAAACCCCAAACCCTAAACCCTACACTGTACATCCTAAACCCTAAACCCTCAACTCTAAACCCTAAGCCCTAAACTCTAAACCCAAAACCCTACACTCTAAACCTGAAACCCCAAACCC